CCTCTGCCCGGCTCCGCACCGGTGCGACTGCGCTGAGGAGGTGGAAGGTCTGTCTGCGGGCTGGTAAGCTTTAGCTTTTCTTTTGTTGTTTCCTGGTGTAGGTTTGTAAGTGGAACTGCAACGGTGTCTGACGAGGCCGGGGGGGGATAGAGTTAAGAACGGTTAAAGTGGGGTGCAGAGATGGGGGCAGCGTGGTTTTGTCTGCGCTACGGGTGTCTCTGCTTGTTATCTCTGGTAGGTTGGAGCCAGCGATGGTAGTTTCCCAAGTGTGAGGGAGTTCACTGCTGTGAGAACTAAGTAGTTGTTAAGCTTAAGGGGTTGAGTCTGGCCACGCTTCCAGGCCTCGGGATTGTTACAAACATGCAAACTGACTTCTCAGGCTTCCCTGGGTTTAAGTCTCACTCAGTAAAATAGAAGCAATTGCTGTGAGCAATATACAGATGTGCCATTTTAAACAACTTAATTTGAGTTAACTTCTTGGATAAATGCTTTAAGCAAAAAGGTGAAGGTGGTGTAGTGTGTCTTTACTGTAACTTCTAAACCTTGATGGTGTTTTCCTTAAAACCTAGTTCCTAAGTGGTGTCTGGGAACGTTGCAGGCAAAGGTGGTCCTCTGTGCTTTAAATCCTTTTCTCTAGTTGCATTTTTATCTGTAAAGCACAGTTAAAATACATCTGTGATTTACGTGCATCTTCAAACGTTGGCTTAATTTATATTTAATCAGTCAAGGTGTTTATTGATTTCTGTTACTTACGGGTAATGAGTTGTGTGTCTCACTGAACAGAGTTGTCCAGTTTATCTTTCTTCTGTCATTGATTACACGATGCTTGTCCTGTTTTATAGATAAAACCCCAGAAATTTGCACAGCACTTGAGCTATGGTGCTCTTGTTCAGAGGATAAAAATGTGCAAATAAGACCACCAGTAACACTTGCAGTTGATGTCTCGGAGCGTACGCAAAAGGCATTTGTATTCTGAGAGCTGGAACAAATTGAGCCAAATGATGTTATTATTCCATTAAAATCTTTCTCAGTTGGTACAAGCATGCAGTTGGCTTTAAATTCTTTTAAATTTTAAGTTTTAGTTTTCCTGTGCTTCTTGCTGTAGAGATGTAATTCTGAGGTGATTTTTTTTTTTTTTGTAAAGTCAAGACTAGAGAGCATCACATGCATATAGAAACCAAAAGAAAAACGAGCATGTGTATTGTAGGAGAGAGAATAAAAAAGACAGGATAATGTAGGAATTAAAAAGAAATGGCTTTGGGAGTACCAGGAGGTAGATGGGTCAGTGTTGCGTATATTTTCTAGTAAACCAGGTATTCCTAATCCTTCTGCTTTTTGAAGCAGACCAAGACAACATACTTGCTGTGTTTGAAAGATTGCATCCTGCATACTCTCTTAATTTTGTAGACCACTTATTATTTTACACTTTTATTTAGTTTGCTTGCTTCACATGTTGAAGTTGTTGGTGTTCCCCATCTGATAGAGTGAACTCTTACTTGAAATTATTTAATTTTTATTTATGTAAGAATAGGTAACTTTATATATACATGGTGTCTGCCATGGATTGTATTCTAGATCCTAATTACGTACAGTAGTAGAAGGGCTGAGTGATGTTAATGCAGATGGTATTGATTGCTCTTCCCCTTTCAGACTTGTAAAGAATAGTTTGATGGGTTGGGAGGCATTTGGTCCTTTCATCCCTATCTCCATCTAGTCCTGATGTATGCTTTACAGTCAGAGGGTTTGCTTTAATTAAGTTAAATGTAGAAGATCGATGGTTGTCTACTGCGGTGCTACAGGGCAATGAGAGTAGTTTCATCAAGGTAACCCCTGTTTCAGGATGCATTTCTCTAGTGGTTATAAAATTAATTTAGAAGTTTCTCATGTACTATCAATTGGCTTAAAAGTCTAAGCGTGATTTTTAGAGGTACCTGGGGATGCAGGACACACTTTTTCTCTCACCTGGAAAGTTTTAGCTGTGAATTACTTTGTCACAGGAGATTCATGTGGAGATGAAAAATCAAACCTGTGAATGATCATTGTTGTGACATGGTGGAATTTGGCGGTTTCAGGCCTATAGGTTTTTTTTTATTAAACCACCATTTCATAGAATCATTAAGGTTGGAAAAGACCTCTAAGATCATTGAGTCCAACCGTCAACCCAACACCACCATGCCCACTAAACCATGTCCCTAAGCGCCTCATCTACACGTCTTTTAAATCCCTCCAGGGATGGTGACTCAACCACTTCCCTGGGCAGCCTGTTCCAATGTTTAACTACTCTTTCAGCAAAGAAATTTTTCCTCACGTCCAATCTAAACCTCCCCTGGCGCAACTTGAGGCCGTTTCCTCTCGTCCTGTCGCTTGTTACTTGGGAGAAGAGACCGACACCCCCCTCGCTACAACCTCCTTTCAGGTAGTTGTGGAGAGCAATGAGGTCTCCCCTCAGCCTCCTTTTCTCCAGGCTAAAGGGCCATTTCAAGGGCCTAGAACTCTCACCTTCTTGTAATGTCATTGCTAATGAATATAATGGCCAGGAGGAAATGTCCTGCTTGCTGGGTTTCAGTATGAGATAACCTACTTCATCAAATGGCCTGAATGTTAAAACTTTTCCCCATGTAAAAGTGACAAAACTTGGTGGGTTTTTTCCCCAATTATGAGGGGTTCTGCTGGTAGAATTAAAAATGCAACTTTGTTTGGTCATACTTTAGGTACAGCCTCACCTAGTTTGCTTTGTTTTGCCGTATGAAAATGAGCGAGAGTTGTTACCATATGACCAAGCCTCATCTCAGCGAACTTCAGTTTCTAAAAGTGTGAGGATAGTTTAAACAGTGATGTGCAGCCAAGAGCTGACAGGACAAGATTATCTCCTTGAAACAGATTCCCTTACCATGTATATTGTGGGCATAGGCAACAAGCTTGAAAAATTTGTCCTGCTTTTTCATGAGCATCCAATAATTTTGGACCTGAGATTCCACTTGTATTTCAAAATGTGTAAACAGCTAAATGGTGATTATTTTTTTTTAACCCATTCTGCATCACCAAATACCTCCACAGTAGGCTGGCTCAAAAGCATAGCCAAGAGGCTTAACCTGTGTCTGTTGGGGCTTAAAAATGAACTCTGAAAACTTTTAGAACGGCGTTGTGTGTTGGGATGTACAGCAGTCCTTGAGGGTGGGAACAGGGCCTCGTGGCTGCAAATCTGTAACCCCGGTGTGATATAATGGTGGTCTAGCAAAGGTTTAGCTTGTATTTTAGTATATATCAATTATGTATTATTTATACAACTAAAGAGGTGATGGATCTGGACTCCTGCTTGGCCGTGGTGTTTACTAGACATCAGTGAGCCTGGTTTTGGATGATGGTTTTACCTGCACTAGTAGTGATTCAAACCAAGGCACAGATTGTTACAAACGTTGCCTGTGTTTTGACTGTGATCTCATAAAGCATTTTTCTTTGATGATATTGCTTGATTTGCAAGTGGGCTGGATAGATTAACCTTAAACTCTGAATTACGTTTAGTGATTGTGATCTGTTTAAAAAATAGGTAAAACTTAGGGGTTTTGTTTGTGTTTTTAAATAGTCGATTGGGAACAGGCGGTTGGTCTTGTGTGAAGTGATATGCTTCTGCTTCTATCAGCTTACATGAAAACTTCACCTTTCTTAAAACACAGAAGTACTTTCTTTCCGTCTTTTTGGTAGATGTGCTTTTGTCCATCTGTTGATCTTTATTGTCTCCATGTATATTCTTTGGTGTATATTCTTTTATTCTGGATAGAACTTCTAAGCTTTAAACATCTCATAGATAAGGAAGAGCCAGATTAGGCATAAGAGTTTAGTATGTTTTGAGGTTGGTGGGGTTTTTTGTTGGTTTGGTTTTTTTCCCCCCCTGAATTTGGTCAACAGCATAGTTGAGGTAACTACAGAGAGCAGTATGGGGAAGTATATCAGGCATAATGTTCGGATTTGTGGTGTCTAAATTTACATTTGATGTGCTGTTTTCAATTTTGTAGTATGTTTGCATATGAAAAATTGATTTAAAAGTCTACTGGAGGAACTGAGGAAGAATCTGTTGAGATTTGGTCTAAGTGGTACAGGCGGTGTATGGGTTTTAATTACACTTGCTGTATTGGCTTTCAGTTAATGGAAGCTTGTCCCCAGCAAGTTTGTGTAAAGTTAAAGCCCTATGGCTTCTGCTCTTTGAGAATTAATCTTTCAGAATGAATGTCTATTTTTGTTCTGATATGAAAAGTCTCCAACTCATGCTCTTGTTTGGGTGTGTCAATTTGAGGCTAATGAAAACAAGGGAAAAGTTGAGCATTTTAGAAATATCTTGTCTGAGGGTGTAGTCTGCAGTGCTGGTTTAAACTGCTCCTGCTGTTTGTTTCCATTCCCATGCTGTTGTCTTTGGTTTGTGTTGGTAAAATATTTTGTGGGCCTGTGTAATAACTGGAGTTACGACTTTCTGGATTAAAAATAACTCCCGGAAGAGATTGTATTATTTCTGATGTTGATCAGTACCCCTGTTGGTTGACTGCCCAGCTTTGAAACCACTGTGCTACCTCAGTTGAGGAAGAAAGGGGAAGGAGGGCGGTGGAGACCTTGCACTGCTTAAACAGGCACTGATACTGCTGCAAGATATGCTTATTAACCAGCTACTTCTACGTTGACTTTGCAGTTTAAATTTCTAGTACATGCAGTACATCGCTTGCTTACCAGACCCCTAAAAATCCAGTTCTGTGTGTTGTCTTCACTCTCACCAGAATGTCTTTAATTTTGCAAAATGTTACATTTAAGTTTCATGCTTTAATTAGGATGGGATATGAGTATAATTCTCTAGTAGTTTGAGTGCCTGTGTTACCATTGCTTTTTTAGACTACTGGTATATATACCTGTTTGTTAATACTGAGAAGCCCTATTCTGAATAAGACACACTGTTCTAGGTTTTGAAGTAACATAGAACAAAAAGACAAATTAGGCTCAATCTAAAATAAGCAGCAGATGAATTAGAGATTTGGATGGGCAAGGGAATGATGAGGCAGTGCTGCTTGACCGTAAGGGCTCCTTATGCTAGCTTCTCGTATTCTTTTTACAGTAGACATCATGGGATAAAGAATTTTTGGAGGAGACACATAAGTGCATTTTGCAGGTGCAGGGAACTCCTCAAGCCTAGGGATGGTCTTGGAAAAAGCACCAAAGTGCTTGTTTGAAAATCAAATACAAATGCTTTTCTTTCTTTGTATAAAAACGTCTGACCACTTGAAACAATCTTGTAATATCTTGATGAAAACAGGCCTTGTTAATGTGGTGAGTTTTGGTTTGAGCTTTTTGTTGCCGTGAGTGCAATTATTTCTGCTTCCTTCTGACAGACCAAAGAGAACGCTGTATAGTAAGAAGTATGGAGTGGACCTCATCAGGTACACGCATGCTGCCAACACTGTCGTGTACAGCTCCAACAAAATAGATGGTAAGTGATCCACTGGAGTTGAGCATATTTAATCTCCTTACAGTTAAAACTACGTGCCTGGATAAATAGCTCTAAAGAGCTGGGAAAAAATTATAGCAAGTTTTCAGTGATAAATGCGCTGTCAGAGGCAGAGGAATTAATGTTCAACTCTAATGCACAACTCAGTGATACTCCCTCGAGCATGCTGACATGAGTTTTGTTCATTGCTGCAATAACTAAGGGATTAAACATTGTTAGTGCGATAAAAGTTCGGTTCTTGATTCTGCTGTTCACTTTGCTGTTTGATACCAGTGCTGTCAGTCAGCCTCCGTGCCTTAGTTTCTTATGTGTGTAATGAGGTGGAAGGAGCATGTGGCTAGAAGGTGGGCTAAATGCTGTAGCTCCGTCTGGTACACACACAAGTCAACTGCAAAGGAAGGGAATGTTTTTCCATTCTCCGTAGGCAGCAGGGGAGGGTAGGAAGTTCAGGTAACTCAGCAGATCACCAGCCAAGCCTGGAGGAGGTCACAGATCTCTTCTGAGATTAGCTTTGCTTCTGTTTATCTGTTTTTTCCATGTAATAGACAGAACACCCATTTTCATGCTGTTTCTCCGCAGTCGGTGTCTGTGATGTCACTGATTTACAGAACATAGCTATCGAAGGGCTTCTAGAGCTTCATGACAGGCTCTCTATTAATATATTTGAGTTTAATTTAAAATTCAAATTTAAGAACTGGCACAGATAGGTACATTAATTCTTCCTAAGGTTGGAAACACTAGTGTTCATTTCAAATTTTGTCTCAATTTTGTTTGTTGCAGTCGGTGTCTGAGAGTTTTTCAGTGAACAAGTCTCTTAGCACAGCACGTTATAAATGGGTTTTAATATTGTATTTGTAAACTCATAATCATTTCTGGAATAGTGGTTTTGTTTTGGTTTTTCCTTTGCAGAGATGGAGCTTGGCAGTAGAGATACTGGTGCCTTGTGGTGTGTGCTGGGTTATTTAAGGAATTTAAGAGTATGAATTTAGAGCAGATGGAAGTTAAGATTTAGGAAATCAGGTTAAACTAGAACAAGCTGGGCCTAAAACTAGAGGAACAAGGAAGTTTCTAAGGGAACTGGATTTAATGGTGTAAAAGGATTAAAAGTGTGATGGGAAGCACTTGCCTTTTTAGTCTATTTCACAGCCTACTTTTTTTAATTAAGTTATTACTTTGTGTCACATTTCTGATTTGGCTGCTATTTAATTTACAATTAATTGACAATTAACAATTTAATGAAGCATTTTTAATGCCATTTTGAGCTGTTTTTGTTTATAAGCAATGGTAGTCTTTGAGGAACCAAAACTTAAGAGTCTTCATCCTGCAGGGTAGCATTATGATAAATACTTGATTAGAAGAAAAGAAAAAGATAGAGTGTGAAAATATTTGTTGCTGTTACAAACCGTAAACCTAATAAAACCAGCAGTGTGTTCTGTAGGGGTCCATATACTCTGTAGTCCCTAACGCATGCAGTCTTAGGCAAGGTGCATTGTATTTAACCTGTTACGTCGTTATCGGGAAGGAAAATTAACCCAGGAACATGTAATAGGAGTGCTGGTGCTTGCTCCCAAGCATTTTATGTGTTGGAGTTGCTACCAATCCACTTCTGAAGATCTCCTCAAGACCTTTGAACCTAGTTCATCTTGCCTGATTCCAGGCTGAGGTAGTAGTTTGTACAGTTTGAGGGTCTATGATACCACCCGGTACAGGAGATAACTGTACAGGCCACTGCCTTGCCTGGGACAGAGCACTGCCAACAAAAAGGATCACAAAGGATCACAGTTCCCCAGAGCGTCCTCTTTAGCAAAGGAAGATGAAATTCTGCATGGATACTTTGGAAATCAGGTAACGACAGTTCTTGCAGGAAAAACTAGAGATGTGTCTTAACAGCATGCTTGAAGCATATCGGTTCTAGCCATGGTGGGATGTGACATGACACACTGGTGTTGGGGATTTATGTTTTGGATAGTCACCTCAGGTCACTTAGAGCCTTTCAGAATGGCGTGTCACCAGCATCATGTTTCCAGCTTGATCAGTCAGCTTTAGTCGTCTTGTCAAATACTGGAAGGTGGTCTAGAACTCTGATCTCAGCTTGATGTGAAACCTCAGGCAAAAATGGTGACGATCATTTTTTCACAGAAACTAAATTTTGCTGAGTGAGCCTTTCAAAGCTCTGAACACAGCAGCCCTTATGAGTGTTTAAAATGCTCTGTGCGTATTGCATCCCGTTGGCTCTTGTTCTTCCGAGTCAAAAGTAAAAATGTCTGTTTTTCTCTCAGTTTATCTTTGGAGCCTCAGCAGGACTTGTTACAGCAGTAAGAAGTCTCTTGGCACTGTATGGTGCAGGTGCATAATGCCAATCTCGTCCATTTAGCAATAGCTTAAACTAGTGTCCTCTAACTAGTGTGAGAAGGGATTTTGCTGATGCTGCTTTCAGATAGCAGAGGTTTAACTTGTGCTCTTCACGTTTTATCACTCGGATCTGCACGTAAAGATTAAAAAGTGGCTTCTGTGCTTTAGTAATTGTTTCCTCTTAAAAGAATTTCTCTTAATCTTGGGAGAAAGTCTCAACAGCATCTTCCAAAATTCTGGGCTACTCTTGGTATGTTCATCTACAGTCAGAATAAAATTACCACTTGAGAAATGTTGTGGTGCTGCTCTGATTTATTCAGTATATTTTTAAGATTGCTTTAAGTGGACTAAGCTTTAGATTTCTCCTGTCCTCTTCTTAAAGCTTAGCTACTCTAAGTGCAGAGAAGGTGTGAAGCTGTTGATTGTCAGATTTAAAAAAAAAGAGAGATTTGCTACTTTCTGATGGTCTTGTCCTGGCTTTGAAGTTCATGTTTTTATCTCTCTTTGGCTAAATGCTAGAATTCGCACATTTCCTATGCTTACTGTTTTGTTGGAGACTTATTTGCTGGATGTGTATGTAGGCAAGGCAGCATGCTGTATAGCAAAAAAAAGTGGTCGTATCAACTTTGTAAATTTGATACTCTCAATTTTGTGAGAATGATGGAATAAAACCTACTGGTACTTAAATTTCAGCAACTTTGAAACTAACTTGCATAAATCACATGACAGTTTGCCTTTAAGATGTAATATGACTTCAGACTGTGGAAAGTAATCTTTTCCTGGTGCCTGATTTCCAGTTCTGCCGTGGAAACCAAGTTGTTTTATGCCTGTTTCTAACTTGATTCTGTTTCAAAGCCTGACTTTAAATCAAACGACCAGACTTATTCACTGTGGCAAGATTGCTGTTGCTGTGGGGAGCAAGTTTACTGTGTGACCACTTTTAGATAACATTGGGTTCATGGTATAATAAAGCTTATGGTTTGTTTATGTTTTCAGATACAATCCGATACCTCTCCCTGCATGACAACAAATACATTCGGTATTTCCCGGGGCATACAAAAAGGTAAGGTGTTGCTTGGAGACAGTACAGGAGAAATTGAAATAATGATTGTAATGAGCTTGAGTTATGTTATGCTCGATTGACTCCGGTTTTCGCTTTGTGTTTCAATTTTTGCCATTGTTCATGGCAATGATGAGCTTATACACAACTGTTGGGGTAGCTGTTACTCCATTCGCTTCTTTTGTATGTCTCTGATGCGTGTGGTCTTCTGTGTTGCAGAGTGGTTGCTCTTTCAATGTCTCCAGTGGATGATACTTTTATTTCTGGATCCCTTGATAAAACTATTCGACTTTGGGATCTCCGCTCTCCAAATTGCCAGGTGGGATACCAAGTCCATGCGCATAGTGTGTTGCATTTTCAGTTAGAAAGATGACAAATGGATGTGTGCTGGTTATAAACCAAAAATACTGCCAGAAACGTATGCTGCTGATTTAGTGTTACACCTTCCTGGAATGCTGAAGGAACCTCGATCACAAATCTCTGCAAAATACACGTCACATTGTGTAACACCACTCACTTTCACCTATGTCTCCGCTGGAGAGGCGCGCTGGGAAGAGCAAGAAGTCACACCCACAGCTGAGGAGACAGGAGAAGAGCTGGGTGTCATCAGCTTGTTCATCAGGCTGCTACCCCATGCAGAGAGTGTTCTCTCTTAGCCGGCATCTCTCCTGGGTTGGGAATGCATCTTATCTGAGTGCTTATAGTGTGTGTTTAAAATTGATGCCTTGATGCAATTAAATTCGATGAAGAAACTGATGATCTAAAGTAATGCAGTAGCCATGTGGTCTACCCCCTCCTTGCATCACCTTTGTTGTTCATCAGACCTGTTTGTGAGCAGATTTAACTTTCTAGCAAGGCAAAACCCTATTTGGTTTTATTTATGTATTTTGTTGGAATACTTTACTGTACTTTCTTCAGTGGAAGCAGGCTTGTGTGGGCTGAGAAAAGTACCAGAGCTGGCAGCAGGGGCAGGAATGAAAGACTAGTAGTAGAATCTCCACCTTTTATTGGTGATGAGCTGTTTTGTCCCTATATCTGGACACGTAGTGTTGTGCTGTCATATTTTCCCATCTCACTGGGACCATTTTGCTTATGAGAGAGGGCTATTTACTTACTCCAGATGATGTAACTAAATGCAAAAGGAAGAAAAGATTACATTTCTTACAAAATGGCTTTATGTGTCTTAAAACCAAGCTTTTTCTGACAAGAAATCTTAATTTTGCCTTTCTTCGGGAGTGTGCCTTTAGTGCCAGTACATAAGTTTCCCTTGGGAGGAATCTCAGTCTCAGAGTTACTACAAATAAAATTGAAGCCACCGAGGCGAAGGGCTCCGAAGCGGAGGATCGCGCCGGGGGACCCTTCCTGAGGCGGCAAAACCGCGGCAAAACCCGCAAGAAGCAAAGGCGCAGGGAGTGAGAGGGTGCCCCAGCCCCCCGCCCCGAGCCGGGGGAGGGAGCCCCTGACGAGCGGCAGGCCTGGCTCAGCGTGGGGGGGGGCAAGAGGGGCGGGGGG